TTCAGGTACCTCTTGCGTCTGCAGAATACTCGAGTGGTTGGTTTTTCTTTTCTTCTCTCTTTCCCTCTCACTGGATCCAGACGAGAAGAATCTGTGGAAGTCCCTGGAGGAACGAGTGCTTCAACCAGGGGAGCAGCCCGATTTTTCCTGGTTCAAGGACGGTGAAGAGTTTGACCCTGGAGAACGATTCCGCGTCCTCTTGAAGGTAAGCGTGTAGTCTCCCTCTTCGACTGAGGTTTTTGACCGACCGATGCATTTCGGCCTTCCCGCCCAGGACGACGAGGACTCCCTGGCCTTGGTGTTCCAACACGTGAAGCCGGAAGACGCCGGGCTCTACACTTGCGTCGCGTCCACGTCCACCGGGAAGATCTCGTGCAGCGCTGAACTCACCGTCCAGGGTGAGTCCCCCCCTCCCCCAAGCGTATGCTCCTCGATCTCACTCAATCTCACTGCATCTTGTCCTTTTCGCGCAGGAGCGGTACACCACCTGCTCCGCGAGCCGGAGCCCCCGTCCTTCACCCTCGACCTTACGGATACCGAGGTGAGCATGGGCGGTTCGGCCATGCTTGACCTCAAGGTCACTGGATATCCCAAGCCTCGCGTCACCTGGTGAGTCTGACTGATATGCAGAGCCTCTTTTTTCTTTCTCCATTCGATGCCGTATGATTTGTAATTGGTGTAATTTGTTTGACTTGTAAATGAATAATATTTTGTAATTTGTTATTTTCCGCGACGTGTAGGTACAAGGACGGGAAGGAGGTGACTGCAGGTGGCAGATTCCGGTTCTTGTACGAAGACGAAGAAAGCATATCCCTCATCATCAAGAACGTCGAGATGGGAGATGCTGGGAAATACACGGTTGTGGCCCAGAATGATCTCGGCGAGGTCACCACTGAGGGTTCCCTCTTCGTCCGCGGTTTGTCTCCTCTCGATCGGCAAGGCAATTCCATCTCGAATGCAAGCGTGTGATTTTTTTATTTTTGCTTCTCTCGGCAGCCCCTCCGAAATTCAAGA